AGATCAGTGAGATAGGATGGGGCGGAACTGTTCAGTGATTTAAAAACATACATGAGAATTTTGAAATGGATCCGAAGGTGAATGGGTAGCCAGTGCAGGGAGGCCAAAACTGGCGTGATGTGCTCTCTATAGCCTGTACCAGTTAAAAATCGGGCTGCAGCATTTTGGACCAGTTGTAGACGAGCAATGGAGGACTGACTGATTCCAAACAGAAGTGAATTGCAGTAATCAAGCCTAGATGTTATGAAGGCATGGATCACTGTCTCAAGGTTTTTTTTGGAGAGTATAGGCTTCAGCTTAGACAGCTGTCTCAGCTGAAAAAAACTGGATTTTACCATCATGTTTACGTGACTGTTGAGTTTTAAGGACGGGTCCATTATCACCCCCAGATTAGTGACCTTTTGTTTCTCTAGCGGGGCTAGAGAGAAAAGGTCAATGTCATGGTTCATGAGTGAGCCACTGGGATGGAACAGCATGACTTCAGACTTCTTCTCATGCTATCTCATGATAATGAAGGACTACCACCTAAATTTTGTTCACCTCAAATCAACAGTACCAACTTTACCCAAAAATGTAGCAAAGAGATATGAATATATTTGAGCCTGTATGTATATTTTTTACCTTATCCTCATTAGAGAAATTCCACAATAAATTCTGACTTGTTTTTTTCATATATATTTGAAGTTTTCTCTGTGTGAAGTTGTCCTCCTGAAGAAAGAATGATAAAAAAAAAATTAAAAGCCAAAGAATAGTAGCATTCATGTCCGTGATGAGAGGATAGAACCCACATCCCTCCAACAAATGGCACTTGAAAACCTTTGAACATTTAAACTGTGTTTTCCTTTGTGACCGACTTACATGCACAGAAAAATGTGGATTTAGTCCAGATGCAGTAGAAACAAGGTCATTCAGGAAGAAACAATGAATATTTTGTTTGCTAATTGAGGATTTTGAAACCAGAGCTTATCACAGTTTTACTGAGTAAACGTTACATAAAGTGGGATAGTTCCCCTTTCAGGAGTCGTTGGTAATTCAAGACTTCATGGCTGACTTGACCCTGTTTCTTGAGACAAAGCATTGCATAAGACTCATTGTTGAAGCAGGGGACTTCAAATGTGACCAGACATAAAATCCAGAGAGAAATTAGATTCGAAAAGTTTAGAGACAACTAACTGGGCGTCCTAATCTCCAAGAACATCAGTCATGTTTGTGGCTTTCAATAAAAAGTCACATAAAACAGTTATTTCCAACAGCTCAGGGACTCTTCGTTAAAAAAACAAAATAAAATCCGGACACAGAACATCAGATCATAGATGAAAACACTGATCTTCTGCATGTTGTACTACTTTGAACTACGTGGAGGTCAGCAGACGAACACCTCCATCGTCCTCGGTGATGAAAGCATTTCTGACTTCTGAAGAAAATCACAGCGAAGGACGTCCAAGGGTTTGATTTTCCAGTGAACGTTTGAAAACATGAACCACAGCGGTCGAGGATATAGACGGGCCCAGAGACAACAGCGCAGAAAGTGAAAGAGCTGTAGATTTAAAAGCCAGTCTCTTTGTCTTTGTTACAGGATGGACTCTCAGTCACACAGGAAGAGAAGCAGGTGCAGGTGAACTGCTCTGGTTAGGACTACAGTAGTGCCTCGCTACTTCGCGGTTTGACTTTTGCGGACTTGCTCTTTCCCGGTTTTTCAAAGATTTAACACGGAAAATACACAACATCATTGTCAACTTTAATATTACTCACGTGATTGTGACAGTACGGGATACTGTACAGTAAAAAGTTAACAAAATAATAAAATACTTTGGACAGGCGCCACCATTTTGTAGTTTTCTCTCAATAAGCCTACACTGTATCTCCGCTCATAAAGACTACATTTCCCAGAAGCCAACAGTGCCTCGTCCAGAAGCCCTGTTGCCTTCTGCTGAAATACGTAGAGGGAAAGTTTTGATCTGATCCGAAAAAGCTCGGTCTTTATTCATACAGTGACTTAGGTGCCGAACGGATGCAGAGAGCTACACGGAACCCACAGGGAACCGGACCAGAACCGGACCTCCAGACTCATCTGTGAATCTGAATGCCACCCTCTGGACCACGAGGCCCTTTCAACGGGGAGGCACCGGCCGGCGGTCTGGCATTCTCTCTGGAGCCCACTGGGATGTCCCCTATCCAGATTTGGACTCAATCGGACCATCATCTGGTCCCGTGCTGGCCATCCGAAGATCCAGCTCCCTCCAAAATGCATTTCCATACTAAAGGGCTGCACAGAGTCGACTAGAACAAGAGAAGAACTGGAGAGTGCTGCCCACCGGCCCACGAGGACTTAAAATAGGGAGGCGTCAGCCGGAGGTCCGGTGTTCTCTCCGGAGCCAACCGGGACTATGTTGAGTCAGAGAGCCAACCAGAACCGGCAGGGTAGGTCTGCCAAAATGGAACCGAGTCGGACCGGAACTGAGTTGCTGCTGTTCTGCTGAGCTAATGAGTAAAATTTAGTAGCTACATATACATATGTTGTTAAAATTACATAGGTTTAAGAGTTTAGATCATTGCAAGAGTGTGGGAAGGGTTTATAAAGCCTTAAAATATAAATACCGGTAAATAGTCAAATAAATATAGCGTTCCTACTTGGCGGTTTTTCACTTGTTGTCCAGAATGTAACCACCGTGATAATCGGAGGACTACTGTTTAAGGGGAATTCATCCTAATCTAACTCAGATTTAACAAAAGCTCAAACTGTGCCGAGCTGAGCATCCACACATCATCCACCCTGTCAGCGTTGAAGCAGCAGCTACTAAAGCACGTCTTGAATAATGTCATCCTGCGAGGAAACCGCCCGGGATCTCTCCGCTTCTTGCAGGGAGCCGGTGCTTTCGCAGAACAGAGATAAATGGAGGCCTGTGAGTGACATTCTGACGGAGCTGTTTTCATCTAAACTGCAGATGTTTAGCTTCATCTTTCTTGGTTTCTCTTCACAGCATTTCCCCCTGGTTCATTTAGCATGTGAGGGCTGTTTTCCATGTGAGCCACTTCAGGCTGTGAGGCAGCATGTTTACTTTTCATGTGACTGAGCATACGGACTTTAATCTATTTATACCCAGACTGTGACAAAACAAAGGCTGTTGCAGGGAAATCACGCTGTTTGAAAAAAAAAAAAAAAAAAGATAAATCAAAAAGCAAGACAGCGTTTGTTAGAAAATTTGATTAATTTGCCACCGCAATGATAAACTAATGATGCAGCAACCAGCTGAGAAATGGCTTCTGACTGACTGGGAGCTGAAATAAATTACACAGCCAAATGTTGGTCTATTTAGGCAGACCTTGCTGATTTTTTAATTGAAGATCAGAACATCAATAATATCCCTCCAAATTCAGAGGAAATGTGAAACACGAACAAATTAAGTAATCTGTTTTGTTTCCTGCTGCCAAAAAAAAAAGGAGGGTAAAAAGACCCCAGATAAAGGCAGTTTTCTGGAAAAGGTTATCATAGAAATGCACCTTAATTTCTCTTACCTGCAGCTACGCCACTCCGATAATGCTGAATGAGTTTAATAAACTTAAGACAAATAGGGCTCAGTTGCTGAACAAATAAGTGTTTTGTTAGACTAGAAAAGGTGCGAGGGTATACAGCCAGGCTAGATTTAAGAAAACTCCATATTTGGGCTTCAATCTGGTAGATCTGTGTCTGAGTTTAGGAAACTAACCCTAGCCAGAGTCAACACCATCATTCAAGGCTGGAATGTGGGCTATATTTGGGTCAAACATTCTTTTGGGATGTTTAAACTAGAAACAAATAGTTGAGATTAACAAAAGGCTGAAACAAATAGGGTTTCAGACAAGTCAGTGGTATCAGAATGAAACTAAGTTTAAACTTAAACAACATTAGAAGGCATTAAGGACTAATAAAATAACTAGGAAACCCCCCCATTTTAATTATTTGTACATAAAGTCATCTTTAAGCAATTTATGAGTGATCTCTTTAAAACTGACAACATTTTTCATAACCAAACCCAACAAAGTTCATGCTCAATCATCCAGGTACCAAATTCAATAATGCTCAGTCAGGTCATCTGGACAGTCTATTTTTTTTTTCGAGAGACGTTTCACCCTCTATCCAGAGGGCTTCATCAGTCTGAGGAGCTCCAAGTAAACAGTTTCCCCACCAAACAGTAAACTCCTTAAGTGGTCCAACCAGTTTGCTAGAGATTAGATGGTTTCTGGGGGCTGTCCCGTCCCCCGTCGACTCCTCCCAGGCAGGCAGCCACAGCCAAAGTGATTCAAGAAAAACAACAGCAAAAAAAAAAAAAAAAAAAAGAAACTGTCCAGATGACCTGACTGAGCATTATTGGACCAAACCCAACATTTAGACCCCTCAGTTTTCCCTACCATTATACAAGCGGGGCGCACCGCCTCGTCAACAGAACCAAGCGCCCTGTCTACCAAAGCCCCCCTCCTCCCCTGTCGACAACTGTCGGTACTGATATAGCGCAGGGAGCAATATAAATGCTAGAAAAAAATGCTAGTGATGTACTGGTCCGCTACACCCACCCCCCCTCGACAATTACTGGCAGCAACATAGCGCTAAGCTACAACACAGACGTGACTCCGTCTCCACCGGTCGACAAAAAATAAATAAAATATGACGAGCGCCCCTCCAAGGGAGCTGATTTGGAGAAACACTGCACCTCATATGTTTATAATACCAGATTAAAAGTGCAATGGGACAAACTGAGCCCCTAAAAATTAAGCATGCAGACTATAGCAAGTTTAGACCACAAAAGAACAATTTTTAGTTCATTAAATAAATATACAATGTTGTATATTATATATTGTATGTTGTATATTTGTATGTTGTTTGGTTTATCGAAACAACTGGTGCAATTAGAAATATTTTTGGTCATTTTATTACAATATACTGAAGTCTATTTATACCTTGAGCTGCCTTTCAATAAGCATAAAACAACCAATTTGACACTGAAATTTTAACGTTGTCTTACCAACATGAGTTCCCGTTGAAAGGACTTTCTCTCCTTGTTTTCCAGATTGGTACACTCTTCCTTCAACTTCTCCAGAACTGACGCCACTTTCTCTGGTTCGTTGTCCAGTTCAGTCCGACAAAAGTAATCCAGCGGCAGATTCCCATATCCGAGGGCATCTGCAAACGCCCTCCAGCTGCTTACGTTCTCCATTAAAACTGTCCTAACGGTTGCGTAGATGTATGTAAGAAACTTGCAGGGCTTCAGGATCTGCTCCAGCAGTGCCGTGGTGGTTAGATCTGGGCCACACCAGTAAATGGGTTTGACCTTACCAAGAACCAAAACATTCTTGGCATGAACGAGCCCCATCTTTCCCTGATAGTATCCAATGTACCACTCTTTTGTTCGCAGCTGACCCCGGAGTTTGATTTTCTCCTCACTAAGCAAAGCAACAATGTCCCCCTTTTTATATTCCAACAAATAGTTATTCTTGTGCTGCCTTATAACAGTTTTAAGTAGTTTGCCGAATTTCACGTTGGTAATGCAACAATCCTTGAACTTTGGATATTTTGAGGTAACAGCCAGCGGCGACAGTACGATCTTATCAACTTCTTTCTTTTTTAAAAACCTCCTCTGGCCTGTAATCCTTGCTCCGGTTTTTGGTGGCAACTGTGGGGTTTGGACGCAGAACTGGGTGAGGATACAATCGAGAGAATCTTTGACCTGGACCCTGAGAGTGAAGTCTGAGATGCTGCTGGGATCATGTGACGTGATCATAAAAAGGAGTCTGCTCACTTTCCCCAGTTTTATCTGAAATCCCCGAATTATTCCAGCACCATCACTCGCTCTCACCTGGTAGTTGGACATGTTGGAATACAATCCGATTTGTAGGTCCTGAGGGAATGTCAACACAAACTGGTGCTTCCCCCAAAGCTGAAGGGCCACTGGGGGAGTTGAGGTTGCGTGTCGTATCACTTCGTTCACCAACAAGGTTTTTGGTGCGCAGTCATGCCCAAACATGGCTACAACTGTCTTGAATGAAGGGTGTATATGTTTAGGTCCGTACAGACCCAGAGTAACTTTTCTCTGCATATGGTCCCAAACATTTGTGTTGTGGTTGATGTACTGCAACTGAACCACAACAGCAACATACATGCAAGGTTCTAGACTGTCCAACTGAACCTGGACCGTATCCTTGTAAATGTAAGCATTGGGTATGGGGGTGTAAGGTCCTTCCTTGCAATCACCTCGAACGCAAAGCACCTCTGCAACGTGACAACTCTCCTTCTTCACAGATACTGATACGTTTATCTCCAGCGTTATGAATGACTTTGTCTCCATGTTACTGAGCTTGATCTCCACCACAGGGCTTACCGTGGAGCAGTGCTTATTGTTGAGCTCTAAAGGGGGGTCCAGTAAGGCTTTCATAGAAATCTGCTGGTAGTCTCCATGGCTTACGTGGCCTTCGGGAATGTGTACGCTGATGTGAGTGTCTGGAAGCTGAACAACCCCTCCATTACTGTCCAACCTGCACACTATATTGGTCTCCACTGGTTGAGTCTGGCCCCATCCAGGACTCTGACCCAAAGAGTCCAGGTCATGGCAAGATCGAGCTAGTTTTCTGTGGTTCAGCCAAGCAGTCCTGAAGTCCTCTCTGCTCTGAAACTGCTCTGGTAAAGGAGCAGCAAGGCCTGTAAAGAATCCAGATGACGATACCGTCGGACTGGATTGTGCCTGTAAGATGGATAGTTCCGACAAGCTGTGAGACCGTTTACTCTTAAAAAATGGATTATCTCTCTTTAAGTTGGGCGTACTCTCCTGGTTTGTGCAGGTGGAGATTATATTATTAATATGGCAGCTGCTGAACCCATTCCTCATGTTTGTACCATTGTTAGAACAAGTTGATTGTGACTCCAAAGAATCAAAAAGGATGAGATCTGCTGAGTTCCTCACACTTAGAGCTTTGGATTTGTGATCTAACGGGCAGTCGAAGGGGTTCACAGAAAAATAAGAGTTGTTAGAAATTGTAGAAGGCTTCTGAGTCACTTCCATCCACTCCCCAAGAACTTCAAACTCCCTTGATCCATCCTCATAACCTTCCCCAATGCTATCAATCATCCCACTGTCGCTTAGCGAAGAGTTCTTGAAGTTGATCGGTTGGACGTATGCGGCTGGGATGTATCCCATTTCGGTGTTATTGTGGGCGTACCACCACTCTCCACCCGACGTGTCCAGCACGTAGAGGCGATCTCCTTTGGAGAACTTCAGCGTGGTAAAGCTGCTCGGGCAGTAATCCTTTATAGCAACCACTTCCTGTGCAGCTCCAAAAGGGTCTTGAGTCTCAAGCTTTAAGGCACTGGGAGTAGGCACTGAAAAAGAAGGAGGGAACAGGTATGTTTGATCTGATTGCAAAGTCCTTTGTTTTTGATTTAGTATTGAATTCTTCTACTTGTAGGCCTGTCACGATAACAAATTTTGCTGGGCAATTAATTGTCTCAGAAATTATTGCGATAAATGATAATATTGTTTGAAATTTGACAATAATGAGTAATTATTGTAAAATTTAAGAAGAAATGTTAGTTAATTTGTTTTGAATGCAGTACCTTTTTTTCCAAATTCCAGATGGCAGTATAAGACTGTTTGAAGTGAAGGATGGATGGATAGTGAGGGAGCAAGAAGCATGTATCTTTAAGAAAAATGGGAGGGAGGCCTCTTGTTGTGACAAAAAGGAAGGAGAGACATCTTCCTTTTTTCGGTTCTCAAACTGGCGGACGCTTGGTGTGGTTTGAGCTCTTTAACATAGCACTTTTCACACAAAGCTTTTAATAAAACTCAGTAAACAAATTCTCAGCTTCTTTTTGCAGAGGAAAAACAACTTTTTTAGACTAAGGCACAGGTTACAACCGTGAATTTTGGAGGTGTCTTCAGTAGAAAGAGAGAGACACAAACAAACGATAAAGCCGATAAATGAAAATGAGGTTGATAATTTTAATTTATCATACGATTAAATAATTTATTGTTTATTGCGACAGGCCTACTCGTGTGATTTCATAACGTGTCATTTCTATAGGTGTTAAAATAGGGGTTACACATATCATTTTACTGTGGAATCAAATAGTAGCTTTTTAAAAACTTGACAAAAACATCAGTGCAACAAAGCTTGAATAAAGTGAAAACATTTGAAAAACTAATGACTATTTGCACAATTTGATATCGGAAAAATGAACAGGGCAGCAAGAAAACAGCAAATATTCCAAAGTTCATAAACATCAAGTCGTTCCTCATCTCTGAAATTCTCAATATTTTTACAGAGCAGCGTTTAGTCCGAGATATGACACGGTGTGGTATGACTGCAGTAAAACACTGACCTTTAACCTCACTGAGACTGGGTCCATCCACTCCGTCACTGAGGTCGATGAGCGTCCCCTCGGACTTACAGCGAGGGAGGACATAGTTGTTGTTCACTCGAATGATTCGATGGGCAGCCATAGCTGCTACTTGTCAAAACAATGGCTCATTGGCGGCTTTTAATCTGAACAGGAGATCAAAACAAAAGAGGATATCAGGATGTGAGCCAACCATAAGCACACAAGCGCATTCAAGCAAATCTAAAACAACTTGCAGACTCATTGCTAATTTTCTAGATCAGTAACGTGGCAAAAGGTCAAAGCTGCAACACCAGAAAATAAGGTTAGGGAAGAAATTAGTTTTTCTGAATCAATGGGAAGTGCAAGAGTGCTGAAGTGAGGGGAAAAGCACTAATCGAAAAGCAATAAAGACAACGCTAGAGGAGAGTTATACTCTGGGGAAGAGAATATAGAGACAAATGCAAAAAATAAAGATACAAAAAGAAACTTTATATAAGATATCCAAATACTAGACAACTAAAGAGGTTTTCCATAACACATTTATTGAACTTCTACAGTTTACCCACCAATTAAAAGGTGGACAAAAGACTTTGAGCTCATTCTTTACAAGTACTACGTGTTCTTTCTCCTAATTATCCCATGAAAAACCATTTTTGGGTTCTGTTAATTAACATCTGGATAGCTCTGTGTGTTGAAATGCTCCATATCCACGAGGTTTTGTATTCTGAATGTAAAAGAGTAACAATATGTCACATATTTTATTGACATTTTATTTGGAGACACAACAAAGTGTGACTCTCATCACTGGAGGTGATGATGACTTATAGCTTTCCTGACCTGCCTCTAGTTTTTTGTGAAGGCAGTACACCACCAGATCCTAGGGGATGACAAAAATTTTATGCTAAATGCTACATTTGGCCAGCACAACAACTTGGCAGTTAGCACTGTTGCCTCACAGCACGAGTATTCAAAGTGCGGTCCGAGGGCCATTTGCGGCGCTTGGAGTGATTTTGTGCGGCCCACAACTGCAGTTTAAGAATGCCATCATTTTGGCCAGCAGGCTTAGGAGGTCGATGCAGTCTTTCTGCAAATTAGTTGGTAATCCTTTTTTATAAAATGTTTAGGTTTAACAGCAAAACGGATTAAAAACAATTTTCTCAATGTTAGCAATATTAAGCTAAATAAACAACAAAGTCCATGCTCAATAATCCAGGTATACAATCCAACATTTTTCAGTCAGATCATCTGGACAGTTTATTTTTTTTTGTGCTGAAACGTTTCGCCTTCAGTCCGGAAGGCTTCATCAGTCAAGGAAACACACAACAAAACTGATTCTTCCCCCAACAACTTACTCCAAAGTGGAACAAACCAGTTCTGCTTGTGATAAGATGGTCTCTTTGGTACACCCCCTCCTCCATTGCCGGCCCTGTTCCTTGTTGACAGTCTTGTCAAACTGGTTGAAAACAAAGTCTGAAAAATGTTGGATTGTATACCTGGATTATTGAGCATGGACTTTGTTGTTTTCAACCAGTTTGACAAGACTGTCAACAAGGAAGAGGGCCGGCAATGGAGGAGGGGGCGTACCAAAGAGACCATCTTATCACAAGCAGAACTGGTTTGTTCCACTTTGGAGTAAGCTGTTGGAGGAAGAATCAGTTTTGTTGTGTGTTTCCTTGACTGATGGAGCCTTCCGGACTGAAGGCGAAACGTTTCAGCACAAAAAAAATAAACTGTCCATATGACCTGACTGAAAAATATTGGATTAAGCTAAATACAAAACTTTGGCTATGATCTTTTTATTTTCACTTCATGATACAAAACACCAAAAACCTTTACTGATTTCTACCAGAAAGGAGACTTTTGGATAATGATTCATAAAACTTGACTAAATATTGCAGTTGATCAAATAATCAAGAGGGGAATTGGACATTTTTAAACAAATATAGCATGGTGTCATCTACATACGAGTTGATCAACTTTATCAAACCTTCTATGAATCTGTTGGAGTGACTGACAGCCGGACGATTTTTCAGAACTTCGATCAGCCTTTAGGACCGTCCATGGTCCAAAAGACTGATCAACCTCCTTTTAAAAGGACCAGAGCTGGGCGATATCTCAATATTTTAAAAATATTAAGATATAATTTTTTTCGATATAAAATGAGACTATATCGATATATATGATATAGTGTTTATCTTGAAAATCTGCCTGCTGTCTTCTTTCTCCCACACGGCCCCCTCCGTGAATAAAAAACACACAGCCCCTCAGCCATGCGCTCCCCCCACTTCCTACTTCTCCAGGAGGTGGGCGGGAGATGTTTAGCACAACAAGTAAACACGGGAGATATATGAAGAGCAGCTGAGCTGCTGAGCAAAACGAAAAACAATAATTGTTATTTGGAGATGGTTTGGATTTAAATTGTCAGCTGAGCAGCAGAAATATGTTTTCTGTAGACAATGCCGAAAACAAGTCCCAACAAAAGGTCGGAACTATGAATCTTTTCACCATTTAAAACAGCGCTACAAGTGGAATATGAAGTGTGTGTGAAACTGCAGCTGCAGCTCCGACTGTGTTTTCATCCTCCTTCCCTGAAACAAACCACGTTATAAAACTCATTTAGCTATGCTGTGCCTTATGAGAGGAACAGTGAGGTGTTGTAACATTAATAAAGCTGTGGCTTTTCATATCGCTAAAGACACGCTCCTTAGTAGCTAACAAGATGGCTAACGCTTTAGCCATTTTGTTCCACAGCTGAGACTGGGACCGTGTCTTTAGCGATATGATAAGTTGCTGCTTTATTTATGTTGTAGCACCACCTCTCACTGTTCCTGTCATAAAGCACAGCACAGCTAAATGAGTTTTATACAGTGGGTTGTTTCAGGGAAGGAGGATAAAAACACAGTTGGAGCTGCAGCTGCAGTTCACACACGCTTATTAACATTGTGAATTATTATTTAATATATGTAGATAAAGGTCTAAAATATAAACTATTTAATATATGTAAAGAGTTTATTTTTTTAGACATTTATTTTGTACAGTTACAGCTCTTTACTAAATGTGGCTGTGTGACAATTGGGACAAAGCTTTGTCTCAGAAATGTACTTTTGTTAGCACAAGCACAACTTGTACTTATATATGTAAATACATGTCTAAAAAACAAACTTGTAAATAGTTAAATTTTTTTAGACATTTATTTTGTACAGTTACAGCTGTTGTTAATAAATGTGCCTGTAGGATAAAGCTTTGACTAAGAAATATATATTTGTTATTACTTTATGGAAAGAAAAATATATGGAGATATATGGAGATATATATTGTATATCGCAATTTATCTTTAAAAAAATCGAGATATTCATTTTGGTCCATATCACCCAGCCCTAAAAAGTACATTATACTTTTGTTGCAGAGAACAGACTAACATGAACTTTCCAAACACAAAAAAACAACAAACACAGACACAAAACAATTCAAATAAATCAAATCCTTTTTAATATAAAAAATAAGCTTGGTGTTTATGAGGCTTTTAATGTGTTGGATCTACAACAATTTAAAATTCTTTCTCCGCCAAAATTAGTAAACTGGTTGAGAGTTAAGCCCCCAGTACACTCCTGCGTACGTCCATACGCAGAGGTACGCATGTACGTACGCGGAGGTACGAGCGTACCCCCCAGGGCATGTCCGTGCAAAGCTCAAATTTTTACGACCGCATACGTGTACGCGGTGTCGTATAATAAACCGCCCAGCGGTGGACTGTTTTGTATGCGACACCAATATATTAAATTCCCCTTCTTCATCCCTGATCTGGCCTTTTCTTTTGTTTTGTTTTTCCAAAGAGGCAGTGATCTCTTCCTCCTCCGTTGATGCCATGACTGAAATGGTGAGAAATCAAGGAATTTGTCACGAGCGAATTAAACTCAGGTCCAGCGTGGCTGCGGGAGGGTCTGGAGATTTCCTGGTGGGCTGGTCCGATGTTTGGGCTGTAGAGCCAGCGCTCCCTGTTTTTTGTTTTTGATCTTTTTATTAACAACATATAAACACAGAACACCGCTGCGGCTGAGGCTGCCAGCGCTTGACTTGTTTCTTTTTTCCGACCTGTCAATCAATCCAGTAGGCGTGTCAGCAAATGACCAATCAGCGACCTCAATTTGTCCCGAAGGTAAACGCCCCTTGTCTGTGAAGCTGCTCTGCAACTGCTCAGGGTGGACGCTCGAGTACGAAGTCTGAACCCTCTGCCTACAGTACACGTGTACGTACGCGTGAGTATACTTGGGGCTTTAGAGTTCACATTTCTGTGGCCCATGAGTCATTTCATCTTGATAGTTTTGGTCCACACAAGAAAACCTTTGAACATCCCTGTCTTACAGCAAGAAGGACCTGCATTCAAGCCCTGGTTTGGACCCGGGTTTTTTTATGTGGAGTTTGCATCTTCTCCTTATATTTGAAAGGGTTTTCTCCCACAGTCCAAAAACATGCATGTTTCGGCTGCCTTCATGCCCAGACCTCCCTTATAAAGGAGATCTAGGATTTCACCTGGATTTGGTTGGTTGAACAATAAAATAAATAAATAAAGATGAATGTGGCAGAATATGCTGCTCTTGAGAATTACTGTGGACTCTTTTAGCACAGGCAGTAATTTACATAAAAATAGGCTAATTTTGGTCTAAATGCACGCATAATATACCTCATTTCAATGTGGACAAACTGTGCCCAGAGTTTCTGTTTAGTTGAACGCCAAGTCTGACACACAAGTGTCCTTTTGCGAGGGTTTTGTGAATTAGATGGCTGAGCAAAATTCGAAATTGTGTTTAGAAAAGACAATCTGTTGGTGAATCAGAAACTAAGATGTTAAAACTTCCACTTTGGGCAGCATTTAAAATAATATTTGCTGTTTGCAAGTGTATAAGAGCTGCCAACACTGGGGAAAACAGCTAAATACTCATGGTAAAAACAATGTTTTCTCAACCCATGTTACCATGATTTCAACTGAACCGAGTTTAAAAATGCAACCTTTAACACAGTGGCTTTGATCCAGTAATGGCAACAGCTACAAGCTAACAGACTTGCCAACACAGCCAAATCTCTCTCTGTTTTAACTTTTTCAAGAGAAACTGAGTGTGATGAATTGTCCACTGATGTTTAATATTGTGCTGTAATGCAAAAAAAG